GCGAGCTGTCAGAGAGTTGTTTCAAAAATTGTTCCAAAACAATTTGGAGACTTCAAAGATGAATCTGAGAAACATAATAGGAATGCTCTGTTTGAACCAAGTTCAAATTGAAGCAATCATTGCATTGGAGTTCAATCGAGAGAGGTGAAAAGATTCCATTCAATGTGAAATTGTTCCCAATTGTTTCCTCTACTTCCAAAGATCCTAGCCCCTGCTCCCATTTTTAGCAACTGTTGGGAAGGGAGAAGGGCTAGGAACAACGATGGGAGCTTGAGGGGTGCAATGATGCTCCAATGGTGCAATGATAGAATGTGTCGCTTTAGATAAACTTTGGCTCTCTTTATTATTCTCTTTTAATAAAGGTATAGTAACTTTGGAAATAATATTACATCTACTTATATCTAATAGGTATATATCCATGAGTAGTAATTTTAATATTTCATTTCTTTTATTTACTTGTAAAAATTCTCAGATTTATTTTAAAAGAATCAAAAACAATAAATTTTTGTTCTTTTCTTATAAATTGAAATAATATAAATCTAAACATTTAATTCTAAATTCTAAAGTACTTTTGTAGAATTATAGTTTGTATTAGTGATTTGCCTTCAAATTTATAAACATTATTAAATATATTTGAATATATAAACATAATAATTATTTTTATGTAGTTTAAAATAGCATAAATTATATAATAATTAATAACAACTTATTCATATATATATGTATATATATAATAGCTTCGATATAAGTTAAAGAGACATAGAAGCATTTTGATTGGCTATTAAAAAAGAAACTTGGAGAATTCAAAGTAGTTAAAAGCTTGAATATTTCAAAGAATTGAGTTGTTGGAACCATGAGAATTCTCAATAATCACTTCTTTGCACATTAGATTAATTACAACCTAGGTGCAAGGTGTTGTATCTGTTGTTGCATTGTGTTATATTTTGTTATCTTATACTTTCTGTGCTAAGTTGTGTTGTACTTTCAAGTGCTCAAATTGTGTTGTGTTATTATTTTAGGATCTAGATGAGTTGTTTGAGGTAATATCACAAGCTTTATTGGCATTAATATATTGAAATTATATTAGTAGATGGGAAAGGATTGTCTATGTTATATAAGCACACAATCTTTACACAATAGTGTCTTTGCATATGTCTAGTCATAATTATAATAATTTAGTCAAACATCTCTATACTTTAAAGTAATATCATGAAATTAGTGATGATATTCTTATAGCACATTAAACAAAATTATCACTAAGACCTAGAAGGGTCATGTAGAATAAGTGAAATCAACTTCTAAGTAATGAATGCATTCTTATTTGAGTTGTAATTCTTTGCTTGATCTCAAAAAAGATAGAAAGAAACATTTTATTTCTACTCGAGAAACTTTGAAGAGAATTTTCATGTAGCATTGATTGTTATTAATACTTCTTAGATGCAAGTATATATATTTCACGTGATGGCATTCTAATGCTATAATTTAACTTGATTGCATTGATAACAAGATGGAGTTTTACATTGTGAGGCTTTGAAAATGCACATCTTATTGTATTTCATAAAAATCTTGATTAAAGATTGTTGTCCACCAATTATAGAAGTTCACCAATTACAACTATATAAGGCTATTGGATTCTTTTTATTATAATATTAGTAAGTAATAATAAGTTTTTTGCTAAAATTCTTCATTTTTATTCATGAGCAACTATTATATTTGGCACCTTTGTAATTATTAGACTCCATGAATCACCTATCTTGACTATAATAACAATGTTGTTATACTCATGAGACATATAGTTTATCTTATGCCTCTATTTTGATCAAATATACCTCAAAAGAATACTAGCCACACTGTAAGTTGTTTTTATTTGCTACAAATCTAAGTACTACTTTTACAAATGTAAATTTCATTATTTCCCCATGCATAAATCTTTTTATTTTTCTTCTAGAGATAAATATAATCTCATAAAAATTAATTGACTTGCTTCAAGCACTTAGTTGCTTGATTCTAAGTTGTATTGTATTTTTTGTATTGAGTTGAGTTGAATTATGTTTTGAATTGTAGTTAAGTAATATTAAGAATGTTTGTAATATAGTATTGAAGTGGTTTAATAAGAGATTACATAAATTTATGCACATAAATGGTAGCAATTGCCAATACAATCTACAATTAAGTTGTTTCAAAGCATGATAATCTTATTCTTTGAGTATTGTAGTATTACATTGACAATTGACCATGTTGAATTCTTAATCCCAATATTCTAGTGAATAAGATGTTAAAGTATTATAAAAGTTCTTACAATATTTACTACAATTCTATAGACATCTAATAAAGGCAAAAATTAATTTGGAAGTTGGCGAGATAGTTAAAAGTTCATTTGAAAGATACAAAAAAAATAAAAAATAAAAAATAAAAAAATAAACAAAAACTTATTTAATAATAATAAGATATATAAGTGTGTGAAGATTGATCTATAATCCTATGTATTTGTAAAGAAATTATAATGACATCTAAATAATAAGAAAAAATCATACTATTTGTAATTTCTTTCACACTATTTGCCATTTCTTTTTCTATTTATATTTAACCTCTTATTGCTTCTTTTTTTATTCAAATCTCTTCTATAAATCCAAATTTTTTGTCCTTTTAAGACAATTTACAATATCAAAACCATCAAAACTACTATATCTATGCACTATTAACATGCCCTCCTTCTAAACAAACTAAGTGCATAACAATTTTCCTACCAAATCCCATGCTATATTAGAGATTAATAACAGAATTATAAACTCTCATCACTACACTTGTACCTTGCACAATCACCTAAATTCACTTGAATACATGATTTGGAACTCATAAGAACTTAGATATTATACATGATCCCACAAGATCCCACGGATACTGAAAGAATGTAAAAAAATTTACAAAAAACTATAAGAACTTGGAAAATGCATAAGAATTCACAAGAAGACATGGAAAATTGAAAAGCACATAAGAACTTACAGTAACACAAAAAATATTTTTAACAAAATATATAACTACCATATAAAAATAGAGGTTTGTTAATCAGTTTAATTTGTAATATATATTCACAAGTATATCTATAAAGGTCAATATTTTACAACAATGCAAATTAGAAATGAAATGGATGAGGTTAAGTAATATATTAATATATAGAATATTGGAGCTATAATAGCCACATGGTGTTTGTTTGGAATGAAAATACATAAGAAAGTTCCAAATGTGATTTAATTATCATTGCATCTTATAATAAATCATCAAGTATTCTTAATCCAAATAATGATGCAACTGAAGTCTTGATCCATAGACAAAACAAAAAAAAAACAAAACTTCATTGATATTTTTTTTAAATATCTGAATGTATAGAGATTGCCCGATAATGCAAATATTATGAACTTTCAAACGGTTTTGTGTGAAACAAGACTTCAAAGAAGTAGCTAATAAGACAATGTAGATTTGCAACTATAAGTATATATTTTGTTGACCCTAGTGTGGGAGGAAGATTGAATCTGTGAACCAAGATTTTTACTTATGAAGATGCAATTTTACAACACTGGGTAAAAAATTAAATCAAACATATTTATAATTCTCTAATTGAATAAATCATTTTTTTTATCACAGTACTGGCCTTTCATTTTCACAAGCATAAGTAGAAGTTGACAAAAAACATTGAATGGAATCTTTTCACCTCTCTCGATTGAACTCCAATGCAATGATTGCTTCATTTTGAACTTGGTTCAAACAGAGCATTCCTATTATGTTTCTCAGATTCATCTTTGAAGTCTCCAAATTGTTTTGGAACAATTTTTGAAACAACTCTCTGACAGCTCGCTGCGGCTTAAATAAGACACATCTCTCTTTGATTTATACATCACATAGATGATTTTACCCAAACGATTAGAAGTTCGGAACTTGTCAAGAATGAGAGACATCACTTAAATTGATGATTTTAAACTAATACTGATAACTTCGACACTGGTCCTACTAACCAATTCATTTAGCAGTATTATTTTCCTACACGAATATTTTACGTTTCGCTTTTATATTCTCCTTAATTAGGCCTGACTATTGGCCCTTCTAACAAACGAGTCACTTCGCATGATTGATTTGCACATTACATTCATTCAGTCACAAAATGTTATTCCATCGTCAAAACTCTCGTCTTCGAGTGCGGTCGAGTGCGGCCTATACGTGTCCAATTTCATTCATGGATCTAATTATACCGCTTGGTAGCGTTCATTTCGCAGCTAAGTTGCGTTCGTTTCATCCCCCATCACCCTCGTTCCTTCCGGTTGCATTCGGAGATTCCGTTTGACGGATCCTTTCAATTTTGGTTTGCAACTCCTGTGTTTCGCCACGTATCATGTACGCAGCTCTGGGTTCTACTTTCATCGGGGTTTGGTTATGTTTGCCATCCCCCGGAACTCCGAGTGATCAAGTGAGTCTCGTGGCAATATGATGGGCTTCTGTCAGCAAAAAATTAGAGTATTTTAGCAGCGTCATACACCTAGGGTGTCGAGCACGTGTTCGGTCATCATCCAGAAGCTCACATTCTCGGCTGCCATCTCGGCTCACCACATGCCCGTATCGATTCAGTGCCAGTGTGCAAGACCTCAGAAATCCTGTGTCATGAAAACATCATTACTTCCTCCGAGAAGTTAAGATGGAGCTCATGTGACTGTCATCATCGGTCCCGAAATCGCTATGATGGCGCTCAGTGGAAGAAGAAGTCGTTTAGATTATTTGCCCACGGTACTCTTTCGAGCACCTCACAAATGCCTCACGGCGTTATCGTCATTGCGCGACCTACAATAATTGACTCCACGCAAAACTCCCCGACTGACGATGTGGCCCCCCCCTTGACACAAACCAAGACTCGCACGCTCCGAAAAAGCCCGCCCGGCCTGTCACAAGCAGGGGCACGCCCCCAGCGCGCTAGCCCTGGAAGCCCATCCGTATGCGAAGATTAACTAACGAGGAAGAGGATCAAAGCCTCAGCCTCTACTCTTCATCTTCACATCCGAACCGACATCGTTCCAACCTAAAATAAAACGCTATCCGGAACTCGGTAAGCGATATGCCCATCATCCGAACACTCATCCTTGTAGCTCCGATTCCTCTAGCTACAGCCGCGAAGGCTAAGGAGTCGCGCTCATAGACCGAGCGCGCACCTTGAGTACAAATGTAGCAACATGTCACCCACACGTGAAAATTAACTGTAAACTCTTGAATAGTAGGGCAAGCGCATTAATCAGCACAAGCACCGTGGAAGGAGTTCTACGGTTGTCTGGCCGCTGCCACGCCATGAAGAATCATGACATGACGGTTCCTCTGCGCACGAAATCCGCCCGACCGTCCCACCATCGAGACGCCCTCGAATATGACATCGTGCCACGGTGACCCTCGCAGTGCAATCAAACCCACAAACAAAACACGCCAAACAAGACACACCCTACAATGCGAACCACCACCTGCCCCCAAATACACGCCCACGGAAAAAAATAAAAAAATAAATAAATAAATAAAAACCTTAAAGTCACGTCCTGGCGAACGTCGCCACACAAACTGCGTAGAGGCCTTCGAGCGCAGGACACAAACCCTGCAATCGTTCTGAGGCGTGGGATTCAGTCAGTGCGGGACACCATATATAGGGTTTCGACATGGGCGAGCCTTCCCCCGGAGAGCTCGCTGCAATTAGGGTTTTCCAAGGTTACGGCCATGTTTACTCGCTGGGCCGGCGTAGGGTCGGAGTTCGTCCCTGCGGGTGTGGTGTGGGGCCGGAGGGGAGCTGCTGGGTGGATCTTCCAGTGAAACCGCACAACAGTGAAAATTATTTTATTGGTTCTGGGATGAAGGGCGTCATCCTTCGTCTTCTCGGGCAGTTTCTGGGGCAGAAGTAGGCTCGTGCTCACGAAACTAACCTGCTCTGGCAGTTGTACCCTGCATTTTGTCCAAAATCATTTCAACTTACCCGGGCAGATTGAAATTGTATCCTGGGTTGTTGCCCCTGCTTATGTCCTCTTTGGCTCTTTTCTCCATCATGGCTTTTTTGCCCTTGCTTCCGAGAGCGCGATTTCACTGCCATCACTTTGGTCATTTGTTCAAGGCTATTTTTTTTGTGGTTGAACGTGACCGGAAGAGCTTGAAGGCGCGGCGGAATCGATTGACCGCAAATATATGTCGTGATTGTTTCCAGTTTTGTTGGGTGAAAAGTTTACAAGCGTAGACCCTATTAGATAGAGTCCTGAGGATGTTGACTTTTGTTAACCAGAGACTCCTTCATTGTCACCCGGTGCAGCTGCACCTCAATTTGCTTGGCTATCCCAGTCGAAACTGTTGCTGCTGCAGAAGAATCGGATTTTTTTTCTGAAGTAGCTGCCTCCTCGGTCGTCTAGGCAGCTGATCCTGCGGAGTCAGCCGTCCTATTCAATGCAGCAGATGCAATCGGTTCTTCAAAATTAGTCTCTGCCGAAGACGTTTTAACTGCTCTTTTAGCAGTTTTTCTTGCTGCTTCCACGGTATTCCCAGCCAAGGGCGCTGCCACATCAAGATTTTTCCCTCCAGGTGAATGTCATGTTTCATTAGCCCTTTATATGTCCTTGCCAACTGAGACCGCTGCTGCTTCAAGAGAATTTGCAGCTTTTGCCGAAGCTCTTCCCCGGTGTGCCGTTAATTTAAACTCATTCCATAATTCATTTACAATTGACCATCGAAAAGAACTTCATGGTATGCGTGCATGTCGTGTCGTGCGAAGATCCTTTGCCGTAGGGTGTGACCTGTGGATCGCATTGCAGGCGAGGCCATGAAGTAAATAAACCTTATTTCTTTGTGTTTTGTCGAAGCCAGACCCTTCTATGTTGCCCTACGTGACGCTTATGTTGATTTTTTAAAACCTTACGTAACGATTACGATGAATTTTCACGGGCTGTGTGGCAGACCCAAGTTGCCCAGCAAGAGACGGAGCGATATCCAGTACCATCTATGGCTTAATCCAGGCAGAGGAATTTTTGTGGAGAGATCACACTAAATCAGCCTGTTTCTGTTGCTGCCTTGACTTTGACATGTCTGTGGTCTGGGTTAATTGCAATCCATGTGACGTTGAAAGTTATTAATTTAAAGAGTTCGGTTGTGACCAAGTTGGTTACATGATTTGAAAAGCTACAATAAAAATTATATTGCTTCATACAAACACTTTGTGTGCCATGTATGAGTAGATGCACTTCAAATAATACTTGTTAAAGATGTACTTCAAATATGTCTTAAGGATTTTCTTTTTCTTTTTCTTTTCTTTTGGTTTCTATTTTTATTAGATGATTTGTGCATTAATTATTTAACACCAAAATATATGCTTTATGGTCAATTAAGAAGAAAACTGAAGTTTATAGCTTTGGCATTTTATTACTAAAGATAGTAAAAGGAAGTAAAAACAAGGATCCAACTCAATCCAAAAACAATTTTTATCTACCAATATGGATAAAGGTCCATTTTCTAAGTATAGTTTGAATATTATAATATTTGAATTTTTGATAAAAGTAAGTTAAAATTTGCAAGTATAGATTTATCATTGTATATCATTATAAAATCAAATAAGTTATTATCATTATATATATATATATATATATATATATCAAAAGAAAGAGAAAGAAAGAAAGAGAATTGTTAAAGCCACACCTTTATTTTATTAACATTGTATCTTTTTTCCATTTCATGATTAATTTAGTACATTCCTCATTCCTTGTTTATAGTTCTTAATTCCTCTATCCACACTCTATGTTCTTAGTCTCAACCTTCTCATCTTTGATTTCCATCCCTCATTTCCAATCTTTGTTTCAAATCCCTCGTCTTCATTTTCATCAATTAATTGATCAATCTCTTGCTTGGTTTGGGCCCGCTTCATCCACTCAACCTCTTTGTTATCCAACTATATTCTATGATAGTTAAGCCAAGGCATTCTACCCTCTTCTTTTCTTCTTTTCTTCTAATATTTCATTTTTTTTGTTTTTGCTTGTTGCCTCGTATCTATTCCACTTTTTGCACCTTGCTTATTCACATAGCCATCTAAATATATCCATCTCACGTTTCTCAAATGTTTATCAAATTATTAGCCTCTTTTTATTTATACCTTCTTTCTAGACTTCCTTGGCTTTGAGTTGGGAGTCAAAATAAAATTTGAAGTTGATTGGTAGTATCATATAGTAATACAACTATATTATAAAAAATAAAAATATGGACATTGTTATAGACAAGCTTAGTAAGAAGATGTAGTAAAAAATCAAGGATAAATAATAAGAAGGTAATAAAAGGTTTAGTCGTAATGTGTCAAGGATATGAATCTCGAAGAAAGAGAATCCTCAATACACTCTTCTATCACTGAAAAAAACTAAAAACTCACTCAAAAGGTGATGTAATATTAACTAGAATGGCTATTGTTAAAAAAAAAAAGACTAGAAAGTCTGAAAACAAGACTAAGATTAAAAAGGCATTGACAAGAATGAAGAAGGCTTCACTCTTGCTTCCATATATACTATCTAACTAAGAGCTATGTGGCGATGTCAAATAGGACCTTCAACATGTGTTGACTTTGTTAATCACATGTCTTATTGTCACTGACACAGAAATACAGACTCGAGATCTAACAAGAAGTTCAAGAAGAACTGACAAGAACTAGTTTAATCAGATGAGAACAACACTAGAGAGGTGAGCTAGAGCTCCAAGAGATGTGTTGTCTAGACTGAAGAACTCTTCAGTCTCGATTCCAATATATACTTCTATTTACGAAGCTTCTCAAGCAACTTCTATCAACTAGGAAGCTTCTAGAAGGTTCCAGAGACTTGCTTCTAGAAGGTTCTAGAAACTTATCTCTAGAAGGTTCTAAGGACTATGTCTCTAATATCTTCTACCAACTAAGAAGCTTCTAGAAGGTTCTAGAAACTTGCTTCTAGAAGGTTCTAGAGACTTGTTTCTAGAAGGTTCTAAGGATTATGTTCCTAACATCATCCCCTCTTTTAGCTTTGAGGTCTCTGAGAAGCAATGTTGTTGATCAATACCAATGCAAGAAAATGAAGATCTGTCGCATAACGTCTGCTATGAACTCCAACTGTTGTTCACGAGGCAAGTGGTTCATCGGTCCTTGAAGCCAATGGTAGTGGCCCACTCCTTCAACTTCTGACCATGCATGAACTTCTGTATCCTCATTGTGAAATAGTCCTGCAAACACGCCTTCTGGTTGACCATCATAAGCAGGCTCCGACTCAAATACAATCACTAATGATCGGTTACTCGGTATCCTTCATCGTCATCATAGTATAGGTGGTTCTTCATCTCGAGGTCACCTTTGTGAGCTAGTCAGTTGAGATAATCTGACTGACATAGTATCTATCTCTTGGCTATCCATATCAGAAGATCAAACTATGGCTATTAAAAAAAATTCTATTTTATCTTGGAGAAAATAACTACATCAACTACAAATTTTGGTGGTGCTCTCTCCCTTTCTTATATTCTTGGGTGAGCAAGCTTCAGAAAGAAGCTATTGTCGAACCGGCTTAGGTTTATGAGGATGTTGTTGATGAAACTCCTGTACCTTTTGCGGCGCATTGGCAAGATTTTCAGCTGGCTTCCAAGTTCGCTCATTAATGTCATAGCTGCACCAATGAACAAGATTCTCCAACTTGCCCCACCTTCATCGTGAATCTAGTACCTTTTCAACCTCGTATACATCGTGGTTCTCGATCTCAATACTAAGTGGCGCACATTGCACTCTTTCAGGAAAAGACGACTCTCGATAAGGCTCCAACAGAGAAACATGAAAGACTGGATGTACCTTCATAGAAGCCGATAATTCCAGACGGTACGCCATTGGATTGATTTGCTTCTGGATGATAAATGGTCCCAATCTTCGATAGTCCAACTTATCTTATGGTTGCTTGGTCTTGATATTCCGTCGAAGAAGCCATGCTTTATCTCCAATTTTGAAAGTGGGTGCTTGATTCCGAAATCTATCTGCAGACGCCTTGTAGGATTCTTGAGCGGATTGTAATTGAAGCTTCAACGTATTTTGAAGCTCTGATAGTTGTTTCACAAATCCTTCAACTGCTGGATTGTTATTTGTTGACGGACTGAATAAATCAAACTTCGAATGATACCCATAGTTGAAAAAGAATGGTGTGTATTGAGTCGACGCATGGAAGGTGTTGTTATATAGAAACTCGACTAGCGACAGATATGTGGTCCAATCGTCTTGCTGATAGTTGATGCTGCATCGTAATTATTGTTCTAAGACTTGGTTCACCTGTTCCGTTTGGCCGTCAGTTTGAGGATGAAAAGCCGAAGAAAGCTTGATATCCACCTTCAATATCTCAAAGAGAGATCTCCAAAACTTTGATACGAACTGGGTTCCTCGATCTGATACGATATCATCTGGTAGTCCATAATATCGATACACATTATCGAAAAAGAACCTTGCTGTGACTTCACTGGACGATGTCTTCTTGCAAGGAACAAAGTGCGCCATCTTTGTAAGCCGATCTATCACGACAAAGATGCTGTCAAATGAGTTTGATGATAGAAGGTCCATGATGAAGTCCATGGAAACTGAAGACCATGGTCGACGTAGAATCGGTAATGGCTATAGAAGTCCATAAAGGTGATGCCGAGGATTCTTGGAACTTGAACAGATGTCGCAGGAGAAGACAAAATCTTTCACATCCTTTCACATTTGGGGCCACCAAAAATCTCAAGAAATAAGCTCCAAGGTCTTGTTGAATCCAAAATGTTCCGCAGCTGGAAAATCGTGGCGAGATTGAAGAACTCGGAGTCGTGCTAGTCCTTTTGGGATATACAACCACTCTTCAAAGTATAAAAGATCTCCCTCCACCTTGAATTTATCATCATTGGCATACTACTTGATATCAATGGCTACTAAATCTTAAATAGTCGTGGCATGTATCTGATTCAAGAAGTCAGCATCAATTGACACAATAGTAATGCAAAGCCAAAATTGCTTTGGCTTCAACAACGTCGTACATTGTTGATCAAACGCTGCTTCTCCAGCCTTTGGTACAAGATACGATCTCCTCGATAAGGCATCAAATAGTCCTTGCTGCTTTCCAGGTCGATAAGTGATAACAAAATCGAACCTAGATAGCAACATACTCCATTGAGCTTGACGTTGATTTAGAACTCGAGCCGACATAAAAAATTCCAAATTCTTGTGATCTGTATATACGGTCACTGGGAGTGCAGCTCTTTCAAGAAAATGATGCCATTCTTGGAAAGAATCTACTATAGCAAGAAGTTCCTTATCGTGGATCTCATAATTGATTTCAGCAGCAGAGAACTTTCGAGAATAGAATGCAACCAGATGGAGCTTCTTATCTTCTCCCATTTGTGAAAGTACAACTCCCAAAGCAAAATCCGAAGCATCAATTTTTAAATAAAAGGCCTTTGTAAAGTCTGGGTTTACCAAGATTAGAGTCGTAGTAAATGCGATTTTTAGATCTTGAAACGCCTTCTCCGTTAGAGGTCCTCATTCTAGCTTATCCTTGCATGTCAATCGAGTGAGAGGAGAAGCAACTTGAAAGTAATTCTTGATGAAGATCTGATAAAAGTTGGCAAAGCCAAGAAAGCATTGTACGTCTCTCACTGTCTTCAGAACCTCCCAAGACACGATTGCTTCCACCTTCTTGGGGTCCATCTTCAAGCCTTCCGTAGTCGCAACGAATCTCAAAAACTCCATCTCTATCTGGTGAAATAAATACTTCTCCAACTTAGCATATAGTCCTCACTCGCGTAGTTTCTCCAAGACCAAACAAACGTGCTTTTCATGCTCTTCCTCATTTTTAGAGAATATCAGAATATTATCTTAATAGATGACAACAAAATCGTCAAGGTACTCTCGAAAAATACCATTCATCATATGTTTAAAGATTGTTGGAGCATTGCTAAGACCAAAGGGTATGACATTATATTCAAAATGGCCATACCTTGTACGAAATGTTGTCTTCCACTCATCTCCTTCCTTGATTCGTACGAGGTTGTAAGCTCCCCTTAGATCAATTTTTGTAAAAATCCTTGCATGTCCAAGTTGTTCTAAGAGACCATAAATCAAAGGTAACGGGTAACGATTCTTCTTTGTTATCTTGTTAAGGCCTCGATAGTCCACGCACATCCGCAATGAGCCATCTTTCTTCTTCACAAATAAGATAGGTGCTCCAGTT